TTTTTTTTTTTTTTTTTTTTTTTTTTTTTTTTTTTTTATCTGCAGGGACAATCTCAACCAGTGGGAGAAAGTAACGAGAGGTGAAGAAGCCTCTATATGGATTACTTCCCAGTCCATTGCTCCTGGAACCTCAGATTCACTTCCCGTGAAGACTGATGACTGAACAGCAGCAACAGATTGCTTTAACCCTGAAAGAATCCATTTGGGAGTTGTTTTGTTTTTGTTTTGTTTTGTTGTTTTGTTTTGTTTGTTTTTGTTTATTTTTTGTTTTGTTTTGTTTTTATTTGACAAAGGAAAAAGAAAAGCTACAAAATGCTAACTAGGAAGCAAATCTGCCTATGAAGGTAACACCCATGGTGTTGCCTCAGCTAAATGACTCTGGCAGCCAATCTCCTGATATACACCAGTGACACAACATGAACAGAGGGAAAATGACACCCAGATGTTTCGCAATCAGCTATTAAAAGAGAACTAGCAACTTGTGAAAATAAAAGACTGGCCTTAACTCATGGGCTACATTGCTGAGGCCTTAATTTAAAACTGATGGGGGGAAAAATCTTAGGGGGTACTTCTAAATTGTATCTTTCTAGTAAGGGTTTCAATGGTACTTTTATTATATTGTACTGTGGCTGGCTTTAACACCAGTGTCACTTGGGAGTTCTTGGCTATAAATAGAACAATATACACATTGCTATTGTGAATGTTTATGTGTGATCTACTTGTAATCAGTTTGAACTCCAGCAGAATCCTTGGAGACTATAATTCATGCTAAGGTTATGGTGAATTCTCTTGCTGCAAACAAAAGGAAAACAACATTCAGATTCAAGGTTTACAGTACTTCATGAAGTTCATGATGCAAATTGTCTGTCACCCACAAGGCAAACGTAAAGAACTAGACAACTCCTCCCTTTAAACACTGGAATTGCTGGATGTTTATTTCCAATGAGGAAAGCAATATAGGCATAGTTCTGGTTGGAGTTTTCGTATCCATAGGGGCAGAAGCCTCAGATTAAAATGTAAATGTGACAGCAAAGATTTTTCCTTGCCTAGCTTACCGATAACTAAAGTCAAAATATTTATTTCTACCTGCTGAGTTATATTCTAAAAGGTATTAGAAACATACCTAAAGTATGCTATCTGCTGGAAACAAAAGCCCTGTCAGAAAAGTCAAGCCTCAGAAGAGGAACTGTGGTACCATCACAATAAATCAAAAAAAGTTTTTGTATAGACTAGCTTTTGTGTTGCACAGTAACACTGCATGTCTTCTACTGTTCTTTCCCCCATCCTAAGATGAGTGAAATTGGGAAGCTTTTCCCTTTTTTGTTTGCTTTTTTTTCCCTTAGTTCAGCAAAATGTCAAGACTTGGAACTGCCTTTCTCAGCAAAAGAATAGCTGACAGAAGAAAACTACTCTAAAATACTGTGTTTACAGTTCTGTGCTTCAGTTAGGCTTCAGCCTTAATATTTTATGCACAGACTTTAGGACCTTACATTTAATGCCACTCTTTTGAACTTAGTGCAATTGTACAGAGTACGTTTCAAGAAACACTTATTTTGCCTTCATCTTTCTCTTGAAAATAATGAAAAAAATCTTCGTATTGATCCACACGGTAGGTCGCAACATGATCTTTGTATACGTTTCACGTACAGCCCATACTGCATTATGTGCTTTTTCACAGATAAAACACTCTTGTGGTGATTCTGTGATAACACATCCATTTGTGTAACTGTTAATAGTAGTGACAAAGACAGAGCGTAAGTTCTCTTCTCATGTCTCTTGAGCTGTATTGTTCTAATTAGCATGCCATCTTCTGGGTTTCATTTTGGTGACTTGAACTCTTGAGTTTTGCCTTCTGTTATGGTCGAGCACATACCAGTGTATGTACGTGTGTACAGTATGTGATGCATAAGATGCATAATCACATAATGTATAAATGCACCTAAGCCTTTGCAGTACATAGATATTCCAGAAGTTGGAAATTCAATATTAAATTATATCATTTGTTTAATACAAGTTACCTAGCAGCAGCCCTATAGTTCTTTTCAGTTGTGTAACCAATTCTAAGAGCAGAAATTCACTGTTAACCACAGTAAATTAATTTGAGTAATAAAAAAGGCAGGAAACAACGACGTAGGACGGTATCTCATACTGTGTCCTCTTCTTTACTCCTTAGCAGTTCTGCTTTAATGAAATCTTGCAGATGCAGTCTTTCGTCTGCTAAGTACTTGAGATGTAGTGAATGGTTCCTAATTCACATTGAAGTCATCTAAAAATGTAGTGACCACAAAAATATTTTCCAAAATTCAGACACCCCAGCAACTGAACTGAACATTTTTTCTTGGTGAGTTATTTGCTGTTATTCTGCCTCTTCTTTGAATGCTGAACTTACAACTTTTGCAAAAAAATAGTTCTGATCACACTGTGTCTGTGTTAAGGAGTTCTTAATCCATCTTTCAGTCCTTGTCAGCAGCAAAGACAATTTTGCTAGTTCTGCCACCTACTATTCCAAATATTTCACTGTATCATTCAGTTCTACATGTTGAAGTTTATAAGTACTGATCAGAAGATACTTCCCTAACAAATTTATCAAATTGGCAATAAGTTGTACTTATTGTCTCAAGTCAACCACATGATTTTTCTAATACAGAACTCTCCAGACCACTGAAAATGTGTGTTTGTTAGAGTATAATGTCTGTTAGAATTAAAAACTTTGGCTCCAGCGGTTGTGATTTGCTTTCCTGGTAACTGTGACAAAAAATTTGTTTTTGTTAGCAGCTAAACTAACAAAATTAACCATAGTGGCCTGTATTTTCTAAGCAAATTCAGCCTTAGCATGTAAAGAGTACAGATTCAGGCATGCCCATTTTTTTTTTGTAGAAAAAGGACTTAAATCTGTACTCCCAAAGTCAAAATCAACAAAAATCACAATTTTGAAGTTGGATTTAAATTTACAGCTCAAGTACATTTGAGTTTTGTTTGAGGTTTAATACACTGACATTTAATTGTTCAGACTTCAGCAATCTGGCTGATTAAACTAAACATCCAAAAGCTATTTTTATCCTGCTAAAACCTAATGATATATAAAATGAATTAAAAAAACTGACAGAGCTTTTTTTTTTTTTTTTTTTTCCCCTAGAAGTGCTAGACTTTGTACTTCCAGAACAGCATTATTTTTATTAGTGGTTTGGATTGTTTTTTTGCTTCTAGTCCAGGACAAGTAAAAGGACTAATTGAGAAAGGCCAAATCTGAGAATTTCTAATCTGTAGTGAAATGATGCCTAAAAGGTATGCACTGAGAAAAATAGTTGACTTAGCATGATATTCATCTGAGATGTTGCATATTTTATTAGATCAGTGACAGAAACACCACTGTTATATTTTAGTCCACAAAGTTTGTAATGTAGTATGTAGTTTAGTTATTCCATTAGCGAAAAATACAGTAGTGTTTTTAGTGGGACTATGTGCTAGAGTGTATTCACATTGGAGGGAACATGCAGTGTGGAATTCATCTTTTTACGTGACACAGTCTTGTTTCATGTGTTTAAACTTGGAACAGTGTGATGCATTTGCTATGACTGCATTTAGGCCATGTAGTGTTAAAATTGTAGGGACTGCAGACAGCACCATTCACGTTCAGATAGGGATTGTCAGATGTTCAGAACAATTATGACCCTCTTAAAATAATGCATTTGCCTCTAACACTGTGACACAGGAGCAGTTCTGTGAAGTGGTACAAATTGTTTCTTCATTCTGAACACAGAAGAGACTTTCTGCACACTACTATAAGGAAGTTCACATTCAAACTTTAGGTTATATATCCCAATCCAGCAAAGGCACATCACAACTCTTATTTTGCTCTCTGACCAAAAACTGTGCTCGATTGTAATACGGGTGTATACTCTGTCAAAATACCTAAAACTATGGACTGCTTTCTAGGATAGGTCAAACTGATTTGTAGAGTAGATTCATATATATTCAAAATTCAGGTTGGGCTGTTATGTGGAGAAGAAAGAACTTCAAGGTAACATTCAACTTTAATACATTCAGTGAGCTGAAAGATTTGTTTTATATATATATATATTTACACACACACACATATATATATATATGATACATATAAACTATCTTTGTAAAAAAGAAAAACAAAAAATATGCAAGTGCAATAATTTAAAGAGGTCTTAACTTTGCATTTATAAATTATAAATACTGTACATGGTGTGTAATTTTTTTCATGTATTCATTTGCAGTCTTTGTATTTAAAAACAAACCTAAACCTTTACTATTACGTTTGTACAATAGAACAGTAAGCATTTATTATGATATAGTTAAGTTGTAAATAAATCACAAACCAAACAGCCAGTACATATGCATATATGGGTGTCCTATTGTGAAACCTGTTTTTGCTTTTACTGCTGACTTTAGCACAGCAAGACTACTTCTGTGGATATGTAATTATACATATAAATATATGTATGATACATAAAATATATTTAGAAATGTTCATAATTTTAATGGATATATCTATACATATTCTTTGGTGTGAATATTACTGAATACAGAGTTTTTTTTAATATTATTTTTCATGTTTATTTTGGCTATTATTGGGAATGGAAGTGAGGTATGGGAAGTGTGTGTGTGTATGTGTGTGTGTGTATGCACACGTTTGATTTGGAGGAAACCACAGGAGAAATGCAATCAAAACATAATGGAGTCCTCTAACGAGGTGGTGTCTGCTTTTTTCCTGTAATTGCAGTTTACTGCTTATGGTATGTTTTTCCAATATAAATCCATTGTTTTTATATGTTATCACCTATTGTGAGTTTACACTGCCATAGAGAGATTCACTTTCCTGTATGCCCTCCTACTGCAAGAGAGTTTACCTTGCTGTTGATATACTTTCACACAGATCCTTGCCTTGCTACTACCAAATGAACACGTAGCTAATAAAGAATCATTGACTGCCTTTTGGGAATTATGCAGAAACTGAGATGCTGAATTAACGAAAAATAATATTTTCCCCAAGTTTACAGGATATAGGGCTTTGACAATAGGCAATTGCACTTATTTTGCTGAAAGCAAGTACTGGAGGCAATTTCCTTTTCCTCAAGAAGAAGAAATGGTCTTCTTGAAAATTACAAATTAGACAATCTTCAGATTAGAGAGAAAGGTTTTTTTTCCAAGTGTTTCAGTTCATAGTTCTGTATGAAATGCTACCCGTATGACAAGAATCGTTTACAGAGATGAAGATCTTTGTCCCTGGGTCAAGGGTGTTAGGAAAAAATGTGTCGGAGGATAACCAAACATGTATGTTAGGCTCATTTGGATCTCTTACAAGGGGAGAAATGATCACATTGGGCAGTATCTTTGTGAAGAATGAGTTGTACCAGGTAAAGATTTCTTTTTTTTTTTTTTTTTTTTTTTTTTTTTCTGCTTCACTGTGTAGTCTGTTAACATTCAGTTGAGCTTCATATTTTTTACAGCAGTACAAATCCTGAGAGTACAGGTGAGAATATGTTTGTAGAGCTGGGTTTTTTGGTTGTTGTTGTTTTGTTTTGTTTTTTCTTTTTTCTTTACCTGCCTTTATTCTGGTTAGAGAAGCAATGTAAGTTCACAATAAATGCATACAGAAGTGAAAAAAAATGGGTACTTTAGAATCACAAACATGGTAGAACTAAAGTTTCTAAGGAATAAATATCTTTTTTCATGTTGGTTTTTGTTGGAATGCCTACAAACTAGCACACAAAAATCAGAATGATTCCTTTGTGGAAGCTGTCTTCCATGATATTTTTTTTTTTCCTGCATCGCTATCTTTATTGCTACAAAGGATCAGAGGGAACTGCCTCAGTGTTCAGAGGTAGTTGCAATTCTAGTCAGTGAGGCATCAGATGAAACCTTTTTCTATCCCACACCGTGAATCCTTGGATCACCAGCCCCAGAAAAGCAAGATGTTCTTTACTGCAGATTTTAAAGAGCATTTCACATGTAAAATTAGCATCCTGTGAGAGATTTGCACATTTTCTATTTGAAAGCTTTTAAGTCAACTCTTTGAAATGAGTAGACAGAATCCGCTGATAAGGTTGACAAGTTCCTCGTCTGTTGCTTTCTTCTCCCTCCTGCTCTTTTGTCCTATAAATTTACTTTTGTGTTGGAGCAATTTTTTTTTTTCTTTGACCTTTGAGCATTTCGTGAGTAAAACTGACCACCATTTCTATAGCTTTTTCTACCTTCTTTACCTCTTGGTCTTAATTCCCAGTGATCAGAAATTAAAAGCGTAAAGCTGTTTTGATATGTTTTAGAGGTTTATGTAAACTGCAGACTACGTATCAAATAATTAATGGGCTGGAATTACAAAGAGGGGATCTTAAACCTCAGTTGCTCTCAGCTCTGACCATAAGTTTGTCTGCAGTATTGCACACCTTGAAAGCTCTGGAATGAAGTCAATGCTGAGGCATGTCAGGGTAAGGTGAGGGCAGAATTAAACTGAAAGATAAATTCTACCTGCAGAGAAAGTGTTGCTCACTGACAGACTTGCCTAAAATCAGGAGGCAAATTTGAAGTCTCAGCTCCTCTGTCTCTGCACTGTGTTACCCTGAATTGCATAAGGACTTTGTACGGAATCACCACCCTCATAGCAGCGTTGTGTAAGGCTTACCACGTGAAGAGCTTTTTGTGCACTTTGGAAAGTGTCTCTATTCAGAGACAAAATGTATCTGGCTGGGTGTCCTGCTGCTTTTCTTCTGAAACTGAAGGTGGATACTCTGTCCCTGCAGACGTTTAAGGTCGAGCTAAATGGGGCTTTGAGCAACCTGACCTAGCTGTAAGGTGTCCCTGTTCAGACCAGGAGGCTTTTTGCATTTGCAATTTCTTTAACCAAATTGCGGTAGTTTGTTAATCCTGTACTGCCCTTCTCACAGATGCTGCCATTTGTCCATTTGTGTGTCTTGCTCCTTTTGTTCTGTGTCTCATGGTGGCAGTAAACTCGAGCAGAGTTCACAGAATTTTGTTTGAGTTTCCATTTCTATTTGATATTTAATCTTGACCTGACAAAACGATTTTGACACTAGGTGGAGAATTCCTCCTCCCTGGGAACATTAATTCTATGGGAATTTCCTTGGTAAACAAAAAGTAGTTCTTCACATTCTTCCAATTGGAACCTGTACCAAGAGGAAATCTCTGTAATTTTTTTCATTTAAGTCAATATTGTTAAGTTGATACAAATCACGCCATAGGAAGGATGGAGTGGAACGTGATTTCTGTTTTGAAAAGCTGCGTGTCAGTGATTTTTCACTAATGGTTTCACTGTGATTTAGCAACAACTTCACATTTTAAATGAGGTCCCTAACTTATTAACCATAGGGAAACCAGGAAAGGTGCCATTGTTTTTTTTTATCTTGTAGTCTCACACAGTTACAGCAGCTCACTTTTTTTTGGCACTGGTTGTTCAAAGCAATCTAACGCAGAAACCATTCTGCACTTTTTTCACTGCATTAATTGGACCAGAGGGTGCTCAGTGTAAGTAGAAAGAGTCCTCTCAGCTTGATAAGAAGGTGGTAAGTACTACTGTTAAGGCAATCTCTGTCAATAACTGGAATAACAAGCAGTAGGCACCCAACCAATTACAATCTGTGCAGAAAAGAATTTTGGACTGGAGTCTGGTCTTACTTATCTGCTTCTAGTGACATTATGTGATAAAATCCACATTTCACTGATGTGAAAGCCTACCTTAAGGGCCTGAGCCTGGACAGTGATACTATATAGTTATTCTTTTGAGCCACTGGGGGTAATGAAACAGGAGTTCCGAATGGTTGCCCTATTTATTATTCCTGAGTTTTAAATATCAGGTGAGGTTACTCTGCTATTATTATCTTTATTTGAAATTTTCTCCTGTTTGCTGTTATAACCTTTCTCATGCAATGTTTTGGCTGTGATATTTTGTAGAAGCTGACCAACAGGAAAAAAAAGTTATGGGATGGACCACAGTCTTCTCTCCAAACAGCCACTGCTTTTATAACAAAACATTTTTTAAGTTTTGAGACTGTACCCCTCTGAATTTTGGATGAGAACAAAAGCTTAATGTGATAAGAATGAAGGTGCCAGGGAGGGGGTTGCACCTGACATTACTAGAAAACTGCCTAATATATCAGACTGTTTTACACTTTGTGCTTTGACTTTAGAAATGTGGCAAAAGAGTCAGATATATGGAAACCCCACTTGCTGTATGAATGCCATACCAGTGTTTATTTTTGGCATTCCTAATACACAACGTAAACAAAGCAACTTGCCTGCGCTACCTCAGAGCAAGTCTGGGTTTACCTTATTGGCTTTTCTTTTGTTGTTGTTTAAAAATAATGTAGATACATTTTACCACTATCTGCAGCAGGGAAAAATACTTCATAACAGATGAGTCTGGGTTTTGAAACTACAGCAGTGCTTTGGACTGCCTATGGATTGTATTTCTGGGAAGAAGTGTTATTATGAAACTGGGATGGGAAAAAAACAAGTAGTGCATTTTTTAAAAAAAAATTAGATATTGATTTATTAGTGACTTCTAGTTTTGTTTAATAACTTAAGTTTTGAAACTGTCTTAAATCTAATCCTGGAGTCTGCTGGTACCGGTATCAGCCTTTCTGGTAGTACCAATGAACCTGACTGCTGAATAGCTGCTGTAGCTGTGATGGTGTCCCCATATCTGGTTAAAAGTTTCTGATGAGTAGGCTGTACTCTGGAAGCTCTGTTTTGCTGTTGTATAAAGACTGCACTGCACAGCAGACACATCTGAACTATCCCAGTCCTATGGTAAGACTTTGTCAGCCATCTGCTCTCCCACATCTCGTTCTTACAGTGTTCAACTCTGTCCAGTCCATACAGAAATGAAATCTGGAACGTGACTGTGTTTGTGGTCAAAAAGTCCTGCTGACTCCTTAGATGAGAGTCTTAGATGAGGAATGAGGACAACTGTGAATGCCTAAATCACCAGAGTGCAGTAGCCATTTTGAATTCCAAAAGTAGCGATGCCATCTGTAGTAATTGCCAGTGACCTCAGAAGACCTGGTCTAGTATCACGGGTGCTGTTTGCCTGCATTTCCAGCTTTTGAGCTTGCCTTCGGTGCAGATACTTGCTGAGTCTTCTCATGCCAATACACGTGGCTCAGGCTGCATGTCTGGCTCAGCACAGCACCCATCCTATTTTTGTGCTGGAGAAAACTGGCACATCCCTCCTGTGCCCCACGGGGCTGTCCCTGGGGTGGCAAATGCAACTGCCTATGCAGACTTCAAGCTGCTCCATTGACCTAAGCACAAGGTTGCTTCAACAATCTGCTGCACAGCAGGGCTTTTGGGTCCCTTCCAAGGCTTTCAGAACAAATGCATATGGTCCTCAGACAGACCCCCCGCCCTCAGATTGATTCTGTCTTTTTATGCAATAACAGTGTGAAATTAAAGTAAATGAAGACTATTATTGTGACAAAGCATGCAACAACCATAAAATATTTGCATTTCAGGGCATTTGAGGGGAAAGATAATAGCCATTAAACTTGTAGCAATAGATCCAATTTCTTGGCAGTTTTTTTCTGTTGTACATTGCAAACGAGAGTCCTGCTGTATTACTGTCAGTAATGGAAGGAATGCTGCAGCTTTTTTTCAACTTGCACTAACACGGTTTAGGAGCGGTATCTCAGGGGTAAGAGAGGCTGTGCAGCTTGGCACCTGCATGTTTCAATACTAGCAAGGCTGTATTGACTTTGCCAAATTTGTGGTCACTGTACATAGGAATGATAGATGGAAATGAACACTACTGGGTGCAGATT